AGAATATAAATGGCACTCAGCCACCGTTCCCTTCCCACAGTGAACACGAATTTGTCTCCTCCTCAGCAGGAGCAAAGTGAGAAAAGTGTGCAAGCTCAGTCCTCCCGCCTGGAAATCACAGCCCATCTCCCTGCTGTCAAGAGACAGGGAAGACTTGCCAGCACCAGTTGGATCCTCAAACTATAAATCATAACTAAGCTCTTTCCTGCCTTCACTCAGCAACACAGGAGCTCCTTTGCAACCAGCTAGAGGAGGGTAAGGAAAAAAGCCCACCAAAAATCGTTTAAGTTGCTAAGTGCATTATGTAGCTAAAACCAAAAAGCAGGAGAGGGTTAGAGGACACATCTACAGTTCTCTTGCAGAATTTTTGGGATAGACTTTTCCCCTTATTCTTTCCCAACCCCCACTGACACAACACCCACAAGAGTTAAAACATCAATAGGACAGTATTAGTGGGCTTCCACAGAGAGGGACATCAGAGACAACAATCGTGGTGTGCACACACGTTCATACATTCAAGGGTACATACATTGTTATAACACAGACATATAAAGGAAAACCCAACTGCTAATGGATAGAAAAAAATGCCAGAAACAGCAGATGCAGTGGGCAGGGTGGTCCCCATAATCCTCACAACTTTCTCAACTTTGCCTGTGCCTACTATGATCAAAATGTGTGGGTCTTTTCTTTAAGAATGGTAGGTTTGCTGATCTTAATGTTTTTGTTCCTACAAGGATTTATAAAAAACAAACAACAAACAAAAACCACAAACAAACCTAACACAAATCTCTTCAGGAAGGATAGAAATTTTAGGTTTCTCTGATTTGATAAAATCTGTCCTATTGAAGTCCACTTACAAAAATAATACTAAAAAGCTCAACACATCAGTTACCCAACTGAGAAGCACCAGCCAACTTTGCTTTTATTTAAACAAATCTTGTATGACAGACTGTCGGGAGTATTTGAATTTTTCTTCAAGATAACACACTTTGCTGTTCCTATGACATGTCCATTCTCTTATTCTTTTAAAAAAGGCACTCGGCTCTTATGCATTATCTTTCATCTGACAAATTAATAAGAAAAGGACTAATTTGATCACCTTTTTCAACCATCCAATTATCAGTTTCCATCAGCATCCACACTAGAATTCTCAGTAATGAGAAACTCAGTGTGCAGAAATATCAATGCCACTATATCCAAAAGTGATATTCTCGATTTTGGATAGCCAGGTGGAAACCTTTGCAGAGGGATTCTCACCCACAGCTCACACCTCCTACAGTGACTACTGTAGGTGTCAGCTTATCTTAATCGAGACCATTAAAAATCTTGACTTAAATATTCAGTTACACTTGCTCCTAGATTCCCCTGGACACAACATATGGGCCAACCGAGGTTTAGGAACCTAAAATTATTTTGGAAGTTGAGGCTACCCAGCAATCTACTCTGCAGCAGTAACAATAAAACACCTTTATTACCACTGCAGCACAGACAGGGTCCTCTGTTGGGTTGAAACAGCTCTGTTCAGCTTCCACATCCTTGAGCTGAGTCTCAGCCACTGAGCTCTCCTCCAACACTTCTGCAGCTGGTAGGAGAGAAAGCGAGCACTCAGTCTGAGAAGTAAGCCCCACAGAGACACTCTGATGCCCTCATTCAGGCTGAAAATAAGCTCGCTTCATCATCAAGGGGGTGGGGGGACTGCCTACTTAGTTTTATTTTTTCCCATTCCAAAGATATCACTATTCATTAAAGTCACATTTAAGCTCAGACAGCCAAAGCCCTTGGGATCACTGATAAAACAGAAGCAGAAAATCTTGATATATATACCCAAAACAGACATCACTTGAAGGACCTCCTCAAAGGTCTCCATAAACCTGAAAGCCAACTGAGACAAAACACAGTCCTGTTGATGGAACCAAAAGCCATGGTAGCAAGACGACTGGTTATTTATGAATGCTGAAATCACATAACATGGTAACACTGGTATACCAGACATCCATGTGGAAAAGGGCATTTCAAGCAACTGCAGTTAATAACACACTGCTACCAAATTAATTTGAAAGTGACAGATAAAGATTCAACAGTCTTCATTTCTTCCTGCAGGAACCAAAATTACCTGTCAAGTTATCCACCTCATTTTGGCTTACTCGTTAAACTGTTCAACTGCAATTACGTTGTGAGCAAAACTCATGGCATCTTTGGCTTTTCTCCCCCAACAAGGTCTTCTCAGAGCAGAGTCTCCTGGAACCTGGGGCTGGAGATTTTTCTTCCATCACGGTCTTTGTGGTTACAGTGAAAAACCCTCATCAAACCAGAAAACTCAAAATTAATTGCCTCTCCTACCACCACAGTGCTCTGAGTGTTTCTGTAATTAGTGTATCTCAAGCTCTTCTAAAGAAAGGACTGGCACCCTACCACCAAGAGCCAGCAATTTCTTACGTGTAAATCCTGCTTTGATAGCAATGCCTTTAGTCACCTTTGTGAAATGACCCGCCAGCACACGGCAAGTGCCTTCCCCTGCCCCTCAGTCCTTCTTTTGAACCTTCTGCCTTTAAACCAGGAACAGCAAACCATCACTTCCTCGTGGGAACCTGGCACAGTCAGCTACTGACTAGGCTTCAACCTGAAAGCCACAAACACACATGCTCCCCACATCCAAACTCACACCCACCGTGAACTTGATGTATGCTTACTTGTGAAGCAGTTTATTCCTTTTATCAATATAACCAGAAACAGTGTTTTCGCATGCATACAAACAGACAATACATGAACATCTTGCAACATGTATTTTGTGTAATTTAACCAAGGAAAACTTGGTTAGAATCAGTAAACTCGTAAATTGCTCTGAAGGACTAAATGGCTTCCTCTTCATAGTATTTGTGTAACAGTCAAAGCCTTTTGCAAAATGATGAATGAAAAACATATTCCTCAGCTCATGCTTTGTTAAATAATAACCAAGATCATATTGAAGCTGGAAATAGATTTAAAACAATTGCAGCAATGCTATTTCAGATAATATCCAGGACAGAATTTTGTGCAGAAGACAGTGAAAGTTTCGTATATCAAAAACCTTCAAAACAACCAGATGTCTCCGTTTAAGTTGTTTAAACCCCCAACAACCCTGTTTCTGGGCCTTTTTTTCCTGTAGAATACAACCTTATTTACATAGCATCTCATTTTAATAGGCATCCTAAGCATTTCCAAAAAAAAAAATTCACAAAACCAGATGGCAAAACAAACATTCTAGATTAAAAGGAAAAAAAACTCCACAATTAAAACCAGTACATAAGCTTAAATAACAGCAACATTGGCTACATCCAAAGAGGATTTATGCAAATTACTTTTTTCAGGCACTAAGGATCTTTTTCAGCAGAATACACATTAAGAGACCAGAGACATCTAATCAAACAGATCCTGGAGGGGCGAAACCTTTCACAGTCTCAGATGAACAGAATCCCTCAGGGAAATGGTGGTGTTCGTTTCATTTAATTGACATTTTGCTATTCCTGCTTTCTGAAGAGCATCTGCAGAGTCAAGAGCAATTGTGGGCCAGAATCAGGGCCAGGTTTACAGCCGGGGTAACGAGATGCAGACCAATTAACTGGTAAAGAGTTACATTTATTTACATTAAGTGGTGATTTTGATCTGAGTGTTTTAATGGGATGATGTTGGATGACATATTGGGCAACACATCAGAAATCATTCATCTACGTAGGTGGCATAAACACGTAGTAAACATAATTTTCATGAATTATATCCATTACTGAAAGCAATAATTATACAGCCAGCATTCTGGTTTCCATGTATGGGTTTGGTGGTATGCTGCTTTTTAAAAAGAAATATTTCATTTTCTGTCTAAACTGCTCCATCACAGAGGCAACACAGCTCTCCACCTCTGACGTTTTTAGCCACACCGCCTCTGGGCTTTATAAATGTAGAGATGTACCTAAAACAAGCCCACTGGTGTTTCCGAAGTCACCCCGGCATGCTGCCACCGCACGTGTCCTGGCAATGACTCCAGCACGCTGACAATTCTGTCACCGGGAGCTGCACATGGCAGCATGCCCGCCATGAACCTGTCCCAGGGTGGCTCCCAGCCTGATCCCAGCCCCAAGGTTAAACCAAAGACCAAGTGATAGCTCGCCAACAGAAAACATCTGTGGATCTGCCTGCTGAAAAAAAAAGAGCTGGTTTCCACAATCCCGTGATCTAGTGAGTGGCATCACTGCCCATGGTAGGAAAGTTGAAACTAAATGATCTTTGTCTCTTCCAACCCGAACTATTCTATGATTCCATAACTGCGTGGGACAAATACCTACTCCAGTTAATGAAAGATCCTAATTTCTCGTTTGTTGTAACTACGACAGCCGTGCTACCCAGGCTTTCCCAGAAGTTTAACCACGCTGCTCGGTGCCGCCACGGCTCCTCCTGAGCTGATGCCGCCGCACCTCTTATCTACCCCGCAATGGACATTTTGCCCACGAAAGGACACTTAAAATGAAAACAAGAGATGCACTTTCCTCGAATCCCTTGGAGAGTCAGCCAGCCTGTTGGGAACGGGCAGGTTCCAACAGCCTGTGCCCCTGCCTACGGTTCCCGCGCTACTCTGCTCCATCACACCTCGTATAATCTTCCTCCGATCCCGCAATAAGACACTGGACAGGAGGCGAGCCCGGCCGCCGCTAAGCCCGTAAACCACCGCACCGCAGCCCCCGCGGGCAGCGCAGCCCCGCCGGGTCTCGCCCAGCCCTGCCCGGCCCGGCCCGCACCTCCCCGCCGTTCCCGCGCACTCCTGACCGCACACTGCCCGAGAGCCAGTGGAGCCACCCCTCTCCGGCAAAGGCATTAACCTCAAAATAAATCATCTCCCCCGCACACCCCCCGGTTGGGTGCGGGCTGCAGCCTCCCCCCGCCGGCCGCTCAGCTCCGAGACCGACAGCAGATCCCCCCGAAGCGAACCCAGGGCTGCCGTAGGGCAGCGCCCCCTTCCCGGCCCATCTCACCTCCCACAGCAGCGAGAGCAAAAGCGCGACCCCAGGCTGGAAGCGCTTCATCTCCTCCTCCTCCTTCTCCTCCTCCTCCCGCGGCGGCGGGGGGTTCGCCGCTCGGGCTCAGGCGCGCACGGGCGCTGCCAGCCCCGCCATCCCCGACGGCGGCGGAGCTCCGGGCAGCGGCGCGCTCGGCGGGATGACGGACAGCCCGGGAGAAGGGGCGGCGAGCAGCCCACGCCGGGGGCAGACTGACGAGGCGGGGTAGAGCGCCGGCGGGGCGGGGAGGGGAGGGAGGCGGGGAAGCCCGGCGGCAGGGCGAGGGCGGGCTGACCCGCCGGTCCCCGCCGGCAGTCGGGGTCGAGGCGAGGCGGAGGACGGCTCGGTGCCGGGGCGGGTGGCACAAAGAGGCCGGACCCCGCCGCGGCTGAGGGCGGGGAGCGGAGCCGGCCCGCCCCGGCCCCGCCCCGCGCCCTGCCCGGCCGGGAGGGGGCGGCGGCGGCGGCGGCGGGGTGAGCGCCCCGCACCTGCCCCCGCACCTGCCACCAGGGGACGGTAACGGGCTCCGCGGGGGCGACTCCCCTCCGCGGGCGAGCGACCTGCTGGAGTGAGTCCAGAGGAGGCCACAAAGATTCTCAGAGGGATGGAGCACCTCTCCTATGAAGACAGGCTGGTAGAGTTGGGGCTGTTCAGCCTGGAGAAGAGAAGACTCTGAGGAGACCTCATAGCAACCTTCCAAATACCGAAAGGTGGCTTATAAGAAATATGAGGATGGACTTTTTACCTGTAGTGATAGACCAATGGGCAATGGTTTTAAACTGAGAGTAGATTTATATTATATGTACATATGGAAGAAATTTTTTACAGTGAGGGTGGTGAGACACTGGAACAGATTGCCTAGGAAGTTGTGGATGCCCCATTCCTGGAAGTGTTCAAGGCCAGGTTGGGTGGGGATTTGAGCAATCCAATGTAGTGAAAAATGTCCCTGCCGGTGACAGAGGGGTTGGACAGAATGATCTTTGAGGGTCCCTTCCAACCCAAATCATTCTGTGGTTCTGTGATTCTGTGAGGTGCTGCCTCCGTCAGCCTGGTGAGGGGGAACAGTAGGCGTCTGTCTAGGCTTAGCTGTAAAATACGTTTCAGTTAATTATTAACACAACACACACATCACTACCGAGTTTAGCTTGAGAACCAATAAAGCATTAGTTTTGGGGTTTTTTTTCTCAGCTAGGGCAAGAAAAGCTAGGAAAAAGTACTGCTGTTTTTAACCAATAGATATATTAGCAAGAGTGAGATTGAAGCAATGGGCTGGAGGAAGTGGAAGGCGCGCAGTCTGGAAGTATATGCATCCTAGTGCATAGTTTATTATCTAGCCTAGATAAGGGTGTGGATATCCTATGCTATAAAATTCTTTCCAGGCCAAGATAAGCTGAAAAAGGAAAACCGTCTCCTGACCTAGGAATAAACAGTTTTGTATTTCATTTCAGTCATATCTCGGCTCCCCTAAGTGATGTCTTCTTTCATTTCCACCCAGCTTCAAGGAACCATCTTCATCCCCTGGGAAAGCCCATTAGCTTTAACGGAGTTTGAGTACAAATGAACTTAGCCCAGCATGTGGCATTTTCTCAGCAAAAGTGCAAGTTGCCACAGAGCCCCTTAGAGCTTGTCTGGGCAATAAATGAACACTTTCCATCCAGTGTGCTGCAGCTTGATAGCAAGGCAGGCAGGGCACATGTACCATGCCATGGTGACACAGCACAGAAATAATATAAGGCTTTTGTTGGAGGCAAGGTCCCTAGGTAGAAAACAGCCCCTTCCTTCACATCCTGATTCCAGTCTCTCTTCAGAGCTTACGACTCCAGACCTCCCAGAATCTGTGCATAGAAACAAATATATATATTTAAAAATAAAATAAAATAGTTTCAGGAGCGGTGGGAGTAATGAAGCTTTATTTTATCTGATCAAGGCTTGTACTACAGCTGAAATATTTCTAATATCTTTCTTCTCTGTGGAATCTTAGGCATTTTTCAATAATATTGCCATCTTTCTCTCAGTAGAGGTGCCAATATTAACATATTTCTTTTACTCAGCCACCTCTCTTTCCTGAAGCATAAAAGCATACATTATTTTTGAGACTGCCACTCCTCTGTCAATTTTTCTTTTTCAAATTGAGTAACAGATATAAAAATTCCTAGAGGGCACCCACAGTGCATATAGATGCATGTATTCTCTAGACATTATTTATTTTGAACCAAGACTGATGAATATTTTTAAAGAACATAGTACTTATAAATTGATTTTATTGAATGCTTTCTTGTTTATGTTGAAACAGTTGTTTCTAATCTAATACTATTGAGAAATACTCAATTCCACAAAGGCTGAGTGTGAAGTAGGTAACAACTTTATTATGAACAAACAAATACAATACTTTCATGTGCTTCCCCACATGAACTGTAAATAATTATGAATTACTACAATTTTTTCTTTATTAAAATATTCCACTGCCTTCTTCACAGGCTATTAAAAATTAGCTAAATTCAGTTGTTTTCCAAACTCTACATTTTAAGAGTTGGATCACCTCAAATATATTTTGAGAATTTTTTCTTTATAATTATGTAAATGGTACTAACCTTTGTCAGTAAGTAAAAGAAAGCCCTTTTAAATTACATAAAATATTCAGTAAATGTCTAAAGCCTTTCAAAATCATAACTGGTATCTGTTGAGAAACCACACCAGCATTATTCATTTAAAAACAGGTAGGAAAAATATTCATGAATGCAGCAATAACTAGCCAAGACAAACATAATGTTATATTTCTGTAGCTTCCGTATCTTGTTCAAAGATATTTGTTTTTCCAGGGTGTGTTTAAAAAAAAAAGGAATACCATTTTTTTCTAACTATCTAGCTATTTAAACAAAGGTGTATCTCTTGGCAGAATAATAGTTAAATTATTGTCCAACTTCCCAGAATAAGGACTAAATTTTTTTCATGACTTGCACCACTAACTACTCATTGTGATTGATTTTAAATGAAACACGACTAAGGACTCGTTGAAGTTTCAACAACCTACTCCAAATTCAGTAGCATATTAACACCAGTGCCTCCATCCTAAATAATTTCAGTAAGTGTCTGTGGAGGTTTAGAGGGATGATCCAGACATAGTAGCTCTATTTCCAATGATAATGTAAAAGTTTATACCTCCTACAACTTAGTTTTTCTGTGGAAGGATGTTATTGAGCTGAGAGGCACTGATCAAAAAGATGTAACCCGATTTGTCTTTTAGTATTCTAATACACCCATCAATCTTCATTAATATCTGAAAAGTATATGAAGAGGTCAGTTTTCCATAACTAGTGACATTAAGTAAAACTCACTAAACTGAAACAGGATGACTGCTTACTGGACTGTACTTTGAGACCTCCAAATGAGAGTCCATGGTAACCATGCTCACTATATACTAGCACACTAGAAATCTGTGGCCACTTGAAACACCATTTACAAGAAATTAGAACATATTTAACAGATATGCTAAGAAACGAAGGATGAAGTAATTATCTATAAGCTACCCTACCTGGGCTCCCAAGGAACAGCCCCACTGTTCACTCCCTGTGACTTTCAGGCTTTCTTGATGGAGTCAGATATTTGTCCATCATATTAAAGTAATAATTCCATAGCAAACAGTATTTTGAGAAGCAGCAACTACAAGATAAGCATTAGTATTCTAAAGGACAAAGTTTATTGATTAAACATAATACCCAATTCAACCAGAATAGCTGTGTCAATCAGATCAAATGTTTTTTTGTTCAGTTTTCTCAATCAAGACTGAAGTTTTATCCCCTCAGCAAAGGTACTAATGCTTTGTATTAGAGAACTCAGGAGCTCAGAGGGATTTTTTTTTTTCCTGCAAGATGGATCAAACTCTTTGTTTGCAGTCCATGGTGAAAGGACAAACGCTGGCTTGCTGGAAGGATTAAGGAAGGTTAAGTTCATTCAGAGTACTGTTATAGGACCAAAGCTCATCGCCAATGAAACATTTAGGCTTTGAATTCCTATTTGGACTCCTGTTATTGATTTCAGTGGATAGTTAGAAGTCTAAACACATGCTATTGAAGCTAGATGTAGTCTGTGCTGCCTCAGACCTGAGCACGGTAAGCACAAAACACTGTCAAATTAGAGCAGTAACATTCCAAGCTGCCTGCAAATGGTTTGTAAGGAGAGAGAAGGAAAAGGTCTGGGCAGATGATCAAATCTGCCAGGGGAGGAGGGCAGGACTGAATTGCACGTGTAGGAAACAGGTAGATCAGACAAAGCAACCTATCTCTGGCCAGGCAGAATCAGAGACAGAAAACAAGTAAGATTTTGTCAGGAGTATCTGAAAGCCACAAGAGGGTGAGACGGAGTAGGATGAGACTCTGAAGAGAAATATATGGTGCAACAGAGCATGGTGGACATAAGCACTATGGTGCACAAAGGTGGAAATGGACTGAAATAGAGATTGCTAGTGGTGATATGTGTACCACTGACGGCCTCCAAGCTGTAGAGTGGTAGTGGTGTGGGGCAGTTTGTGTCCTTTGGGAAAGCGAGAGCCTGCTCCAGAGGAATGGTAGGGGAAGAAGAGGAGGTAGCGCTTCTCCCATTATGGCCAAGCACAGAACCAAGAGCTGCTGCCTGCTATCACTGAAACTGAGCAAGCCAGCTGTACTTTATATATAGATATGTAATATGTATATATATATATATATATAAAGTATATGTACTTTATATATAGATATGTAATATTCCAAACTGCTTTTTGTTCCAGAGTCTTTATTAGGCTGTACGGTAAACTGCAAATGGAAAAAAGGATGCTCTAGCTGAATGTCTATGTGTTCCTGTCAGTGCTTACTTGCTCTTGCTTTGCTCACCATTAATTCCTTCCACAGAGAAGCCACTTGATTTAAAAACATGGTTATTCTCCCTATGTGTTAAAATAAAAGGGATGAGGAGAGGAAAGGGATGCTGGCAGAGACTAAGAACTAATCCTGATCACTGTTAGGAGTATGTTGTGCATCTGGGCACTGTCAGTGAGCTCTCTTAGCACTCCAGAGAAAAAGCCTGGAAAATGCAATTCCAAGAACATGGTATCTTAATGGAAATGCAAGGCA